GAGATATTTGATATATATATATATATATATATATATAAAATATAACCTTTTTTTCTCATTGTCTGTAACAGATTTATTTGTGGGTCAGAAGAAAACCACGTTTAAGAACTGTGAAGACACATCTACGAAAAAACAGCTTCTGCGAAAATATCGAATGAGAGATGAGGTAAAAAAAAGTAAATAAAAATATACTCGTAATATTGGAGTCAGTTTAAAACTGATGCAGTTTTTTTCCCTAATACAGTTTGGTAACATCATCCGTCGTGTTGGAGTGAAAAATTCAATTGCCAAAAAGGCCATATTGCCAAAAAGCCCAAAGAGACGTGTTGCACAGTGGCTAAACAGTCTTACACTCAACATCAGATGTTTTAAAGTTGGAATGTTGACCAAGAATTTCAGAAGATCTGATGCTCTGACTGCCCAGTGCACCGTAAATATTAATTACAGGTTTTCTGAATTCATAATGCATTATTCAACACCTGATATACTCAGATATACTGTCTGTTTTTCATTTACAGTTTACAGTGGATTACATTGAGATTGCAAATAAAGGTAACGCAGTTCAAACAGCAGGCTTTCAAACACTCACAACTGATTCTTCAAGATTTAACATTTGGATGGTTTAAAGAAGTAGTTCACCCAAAAACTAAACTTTTTGAAAATCTAATCCACTATGTAGATGAGTTTGTTTTTTCACCAGAACAGGTTTAGAAAAATGTATCATTGCTTTAGTTGATCACCAATAGATCCTCTGCAGTGAATGGGTGCCGTCAAAATGAGAGATACAAATCACTTCTGGGTAAAATATGAGTCCATAATAAAGCTTCCTTCACTGAAAAGTCCATCCCCTTGTCCTCTTACATTAAAATCCACCAGCATATTTATTTCGAACTGTTTTAGACTGTTTTCGCTTGTAATCAGTGCTTGATCTGTGCATATTTCTCTTCTTATTCAGAGAAGAACTTTTTTTTTTTTACTGGAAAAAGGTTTTATGGATAGAGGATTTGTATTTTAGCCAAAAGCAAGGGTTTGATGTTAAAAACATCTTAATAGATTGTACAAACACACAGCTTTTCGCTTAACATTGATTAATGTACTGCAGCCAAATTGATGATTACTTGTGGATTATAGTGATGTTTTTAATCAGCTGTTTTAATTCTCGTTCTGACGGCACCCATTCACTGCAGAGTATCCACTGGTGAGCGAGTGATGTAATGCTAAATTTCTTTAAATCTTTTCCGATGAAGAAACAAACTCATCTACATTTTGAATGACCTGAGGGTGAGTACATTTTTGTGTGAACTTTTCCTTTAATTTTTCAACATGCTAAAAGTCATAAAAACCTATTTTAGTAACTGCAATCATTCCGAATGTGCGATTAACATGATGTTAAAAATACTATATTTTCTCTTCCTTTTTACTATCAGAACGAATAGAAGCATCAGATTTGATGGGTTGTGAATGGTGCACCGAGCAGAAGCTGCCAGCCCTGTTTCTACAGACGACACCTGAGACGTGCCTCCATCTGCAGGTCCAGCTTGACATGTTTGAAGATGATTCCAAAATGTGGTGTGACTGCCAGAGCAGGAGTGAGTCGCAAATACAGACTTTAAAGCAGTCGATACGTGATGAAGTGTGACTGATGTTCTTGCTTTGAGAGTTAAATCATGTCAAATGGTTTCTGTTGTGTCCTTAGATGAAACCGAGAAATATGTTGTCCTTATCTTTGAGAAAGAGCTCACACTCTCAGAGCAAATCGTACTTGAGGAAATATTCACAGAGATGGGCAAGCGTAATAATATCAGCTGTTTTCCAGCTAAGCTGTCATTTGAAAAAGCCAGTAACAGATTGAAGACACATCAGTGTGCCCAAAAACAGGAGGTGCAGTTATAATATTTTTATGATGTTCCAAACATTTTTTTTTTCCCGAATGTCCTTGCATTAGCCAATTGTAGATCAAATAAACATAAATGACTATTTATGATGGTGATTAAACCTGCACTAGTAATGTAATTTTAATTTTCTGTTTAAAACTAAGTGACTTTGTGCATTAAGACTTACACATGACATGATGCTCCTCAGTCATCTTACTTTGTATTTATTTAATTTTTTGATGTCCTTTCCTGTAATATTCATTTTAATTTGCTGTTCAGTTTGCTGTGCTTCAGCTTGAAGAGGATGAACTTCCTGTCATGAGTCAGGTTTTTCAAACTTGTCATTTTCCTTTCCTTTCCTTTCCTGTTTTCCTTTTTTCTTCTTTTCCTTTTTCTTCCTTTTCCCTTTCCTTTTTATTTCGTTTGCTATCCTTTGACTTCCCCTTTCTTTTGTTTCTTCATCCAATTCCCTTTCCTTTTTCTATTTTCTCTCCTTTACTTTCATGTCCTTTTACTTCCATTTTCTCTTTTCTTTTTATTTCCTTTCCTTTTCCCTTTTCTTGTCCTTTCTCTTCTTCATTTCCTTTTGCTTCCCCTTCCTTTGTCCCTTTACTTTCTTTTCCTTTTCCCTTTCCTTTTTTCCTTCCCTTTTATTTATTTTTTTATTCCTTTTCCCCTTTCATTTCCCTTTACTTGTCCTTCCGTTTTTTTCTTTCAATTCCCCCATTTTCTTTTAAACTTTTATTGCCTTTTTCCTTTTATGATCCTTTTCTTCTTGCTTCCTTATTCTTATCCTTTCCTCATCCTTTTATTTCTACTCTGTTTTTCTCTTACCTTTCCTTTTCCTTTCATATTACCACAGAATCAATAAAATCTAAATCTTTGAGCACCAGTTATGTAATGGAGCAAAATAAATCTGCCTTTAACATGTTTTTCAGTTGTTTAGTTCTTTCTCTCAATGTTTAGCATGGCTTGGTGCCATTTTCGGCCTCTCCTGATCCTCATCGATGGGAAATTGCAGCCCTCAGTGTCTCAGACAGTGATGAGGACGATTTGATAGAGCTCCCTTCATCACCCAAACAGGATATCAAAAAGTCAGTTGGCTGACCTAAAATGAGTTGATCAGTTATTGTGATATTATTATCTAGAAGAGCTCTTCTCACCATCTCTTTGCAGACTGGTTGTGTACCCACCTCCTCCAGCCAAAGGGGGAATAGCCATCACAGAGGACGACCTCAACTGTCTTGAGGAAGGAGAATTCCTAAACGATGTGATAATAGACTTCTATCTAAGGTTAAAGTGATTGAGATTGTAGAAGTGGCTATCTGCTTCAGTCCATTGGCACCGTAATGCAGTGGCGTGTCTAGAGCAGTGTTTCCCAACCTTTTTTTAGTCGTGGCACCCTTTGGAAATTTTAACAAACTTGTGGCACCCTACAAAATTAATTTTGTCACAATATTTGAATTTCTAACTTCGATGTGATAATTTGAAAAGTATAGATATTCGGTACAACAGGAAAGAACTGCAGAATATAATGAGTGGGGTAATTTTGGTGCAGTAGCACGAGATAGTGTGATTTCAAACTTTGAATAAAAAATTACAAGAAAGCAGTCAGTAATAAAATAAGAACAAATAAAGAAATTAATAATGATAGCACAAATAAGTCCTCGCGCTCATGGATCGCGTAACATTATGCGCTCTCGACATTGTCATTACGGTCACACTATAGAAACCGCCTAAAATTAAGTATAAAGAAGAGAAGAAAGCGGCCCTACGCAGCTGCTTACACATGCCAGGATCCGCCACTGCCAGATGCAGTTAGAAATTTACTAAAAACAAGACATCTGGTAGGGGGGGCACCTGGGGTGGCCAACCAAATTTCCGGGGGGGCCTGTGCCACCCCTGGCCACCACGTAGACACGCCCTTGCCGTAATGACATACATCTTGTTTTTTGGCCAGGTATTTGGTCTGTGAGCAGCATGAAAAGGAGGATGCCTCCAAGTGCCATGTGTTCAGCTCTTTCTTCTTCAAGCGCCTCACTCAGAAAGATCATAGAAGACTTCCAGGAACTACAGATTTATCGTATGTATAGAATATGGTCTTGTAAAAAAGTACATAAACATAATGGGTATTAACACTGCACTGTATTGCAGCATTCAAGAGCGCCGGCACAGTCGGGTGAAAACGTGGACCAGGGGCGTCAACCTTTTTGAGAAGGAATTAATATTTGTCCCGATTAATCAAATGTGAGTCTCTCAACAAAGCTGCACGTCCTGCACGTTTGGTGATCATTTAAAAACGTTCTTGCAGACTTTCAGGTTGTGTTGGTTAGGTAAAATAAAGAGCATGTCTTAATAAGAGCCCCTCCTGTGCAATGTCTCCTCAGGGCTCACTGGTACCTGGCTGTCATCTGTTTTCCTGCCAAGATTTCACAGACCAGTGGTTTGGATCTTCAACTCAATGGGCGAAGGAATTCAGTGGAGTATCTTTGCGATCAATCTCCACCCAATCCCATGTCTCTCTTCTACTTTCCAGAATCCTCAAAGCAGCTCTCCAGATGGAGTCAATCCATAGGTAATTTAGAAAACCGATGTGGTGCCAGAGCAAAATGGTGGTGTACATAAAGGACAAAATCTGTTAGATTATTGTGCTTCTGCTCTTTTTGAGTGAGAGAACATGCAAATCCAAACTGCTCCATGATACAGCACTAAAGAGTAAAACATTTTCTATTTCTGATAAAGTTCAATGCATATTCGGTTCTTTTTGGTCACTGATTTTTGTAATGGATTACAACACGTTCAATACAAGTTAAGCTGTGTCATACTGTTGATTTTGACTTTTAGTTCATAAAAACTAGGGATGATGGAAGTCTATGGGTCAAGGCCAGAATAACCACTATATGTTTTGAAAGTATAGCCACAAATACTTAATACAAGTTAGTGTTTTGAGAGCATTTGAGGCATACTTTTTAACACGTTTCAAGTTTTATATATATAATACAAATAATAGAAGTACACTGGATAAATATTCTGGAGGTTTTAAAAGCTGAAATCTATTAAATATTCAGTAAAATACTCTTTTTAACTTTTGGGGTCTGTAATATTTTTTACATGTTTTTGAAAAAAGTTTCATAATCACCATGACCATTTATTAGATCAAAAATGTTGTGAAATAGTGAAATGTTATAACAGTTAAGAATGACTGTTTTCTATTTGAATACATTAAAAAAAGTAATTAATTTCTGCAATGGCAAAGCTGGATTTTCAGTATGCTGAAGAAATATTTCTTATTATTGTCAATGTTAAAGACAGTTGTGCTGCTTAAAGGCACAATATGTAATTTTCGCCGCTAGAGGGCGGGTATTCAAAATAAACAAAGAGACAAAGGCGTAGTTTGATGACGCTGTGACTGAGTGTTGAGTCATGGGAGTTGTCCTCTTCATCCCCACAGCCGATGCAATCCGACGGGACTCGGGCAGAAATCATGTTCATGGATGAGCTAATGATTT